ACTTAAGTGTTTTGGGCGAGACCTGACGGTTATGCAGTCTATATTTCCATTAGAATAATTGAAGCAAACGTGATTTGATGTAAACCAACTTGTGTTTATAAAAGTAGCTACCCCTCCTCAAAACTTTTTCTTACAAATTTTTATATCTTGGCGAAAAACTTTATATCCATTAATTGAAACTAGATTGTTATCATAATGCTGGTGCAGCAAAGTCTCTTGTATTGCTAAAACGCCAGCATTTCGATGAACATTAGAATACATTAGGGATTGAAGATAATCCATTTTGTTGGACAGAAACCTACAATTAGTGCTAACGAGTTCAGGAACAGTCATCTGATTAATTTTTGTACGTTTCAAGGCACGCTGCCATCCACAGTGATGCTTTTTTCTCAATTTTTGTTGATGACACCACGCAGTAGGTTGTAATGATTTTAAAAATGCGCGATTATATATAATACGATTAGGACACATAATTGATAAATTAAAACAAAATTAAAAGAGCAAACCAAAGCAATTTTGCAAAATGTTGTAAGGTGGAATTTTCGGTAGCCCTGTGTTCAAGCCCTATGTTCATCTTACTTTCCCAAGAGACTTCCACCAAGTTCCAATACTTCTGCCAACCACTAAATACTATTCGAGCCCAATAAACACCGCTTAACGTTAAATATGGGCACAAGTAATAAAACCAAGATGCGGAGAAGTTATCTGAACGCACATCATAGAAATGTACGCCAAGTAAACTCGTTACGCCAAATAATTAAAGCACGAAATACATATCCATGCAACCCGCTACACAAACAATGCATTCATACTTACAAAGAAGTTGGACAACAGTTCCGACCAAATAAGAGCAAAATAAGCACTTAATTCATCTCAAATGCAGTTGCCTAGATCGAACGAACCAAACCGATAGTGATTTGAATCTACCTAATTGCTCAAATACCCACCTGATAAAGCAAGTGGCACTATTTCAGACTGGAGATATGCCACATTACAGCCTAGATTACTGATCGCATTTTGGATGACACGTTACAAAATATGACAACTTATACCTGAGTTTTAAGGTCACCTATTTATCTCAATCTGAGCCACTCACTCAACTCTTTTAGTCTACCACTGTTTATCACTGCGTGTCGAAAATTTACCCAAAAGTTTTGGTGTTCTTTATGAAGACAGAGAACTCTTGTAGGTCTCCTCTAAATGTCAGGGAGGAAGACTCAACATTTCTTCAGCTTTAGTCTTAAATGTACAAGCTTATGTTGAATTTACATCCAAATAACATTGATATATCTTTTCGTGGTGAACATCCCACTCCGCCCATGATTTTCATCCTATATTTAAATTTCATTTGTCGGAATAAAGAAGGAAAAACTTATTACAGATGTGCAAAGCCCATATATATATTTCCTATCTATGTAGGACACACCAGTTGTACAGGCATGGATAAGTATTATTTAAATTACATGAATTTGATTTATAGTGAAATTACATGGTTGCTGACCTCTCTGACATCAGTTAGTGAGTACATTCTGATAGTTGGTCGTTCAATGGAGCACATAAAGAAATGTAGAAATATTGTCTTCGCATTAACAAAAAAACCAAGTATGTGTCGGATAAATTACAAATATTTGGGGAAAAAATAAAGCTTGAAGTCAATTCCTCCATATAACTTTGTTGTGTGCGGCATCGTATCTTGTTTTATGTTCAAATCGGGTATTAATTTAAAATGAGTGATTTATTTTTATGATTTTGACACCATAGGTAGCATTTTTTCAAATATAAGAGGGAGAGAGAAGTGAGGTCTTAATGAAGACGTGAGTAAGTATTTCATTCAGCTGTTATCCCAAGACCAACTCGAGTCTGCATACTACTAAACCTTGGACCAAACGTCAATAATAATAATAAAATACCAGGAGCGCGCTTCAGAAAGGAGAGTGGCATTTTACATTGCGAAGTAACTTCTGCTTTTGTTGTGTAAATCACATCAGAATCTTTTTGGCTTACTTTTATTGGTTTAATTGGTTGAGCTATTGCTTTTTGTGCAACTTTTTGACTTTTGTGTGGATTTTATATCTCTGTGTTTAGGTATATGCATACAGATCAGTCTGTGTAATTTAAACAAATGATGCCGACATGAGTCTTACAAATAGCTTTCAGGTGTGTAAATATTTTAGCAGTACGTTGGACGTCCTCATTCAAGATGCCGTAGGAATTGTTGTGTTCAAAGCATTGACAAAACCCCAGATGAGGGGAAAAAGCCAGCATCTGGAACCGATGCCATCAATGACGATTCTGTACTGAGTCATAAGACTGAGACGGAACCACATACCGAGGCGAGAAACACAACAGCAATACACTGTCCCACAAAGTTTGCAGAAGCACGCAAAATGTCCAAAAAATTTAAGAGGACAAGCAGTAGCAACATTGTAAGACTGCCGAGTGATACTACCACGACGAAGCGTTGCGTGCATGGTGAACGCGTGGCTTCCAGTTGTGGCGACAAGAAAGGAGAAGTAACTTGTTCCACTTGGTTAGTGCTAAAATTAGGAAGCTGAAGAACTACAGTAAAAAGAAAAAGATTGGGCTGAATGATAAAGTCTCGACGGCCGTAAACACTTATAGTTATCACTTTTACGTTTAGGATTCACACTGTCAACAGCTGCTCGTTTGAACATTTGGAGGGCTAATATACCTGTAATCCGAAATGCAGAAACCCTAGCTAACTGGTCTGTTGATGCACAACAGACTGTTGAGGAAGCTTGGATGGGATTTAGGAATACACTAAGTTGTGCCATGGCACCCTTTGTGCCTTGGTCTACGCCTCGAAAGTATATGCTTGAGAAAATTCGAGTAGATTCTGAGAGACAGTTAGTACTGGATTGTGTGCATTATCCAAACAGACTATACTCATATATCAAACGTAGGACTAAAACTAGCAGTGGTATACAGTTTCGCATAAGCAGTGCTGGATAGGCGGCCGAGTCAGATGAAGCAAAGGCTGAAAAGCTCTCAGCATAATTTCGCGATGTTTTCCGCATAGTTGCGCCACTCAGGGTTGTAGCGAGGTCACTGATGTAGCCAGTAAAATGCCTACAATTGTGGTAGAGGATGCAGTGGTTCTCAAACTACTGCCTAGCTGAAGCCGTGTAAATCACCTGGATCTGACGACTAAATCCTGGACTGCTAATCTCCTAGACAGAAATAATGTACGTTCCACTTACAATGATTTTTCAAATGTCTCTGACCCAGGCTAGGCTACCCAGAGACTGGTAAGATGCTGAAATAAGCCCGTCTTCAAGGATGTGAACAGGCAGTTAGTATCTAACTACCGGCCTGTACATCTGGCACGCATTGTAGCAAAGGTATTAGAGACACTCATTAGGTACCAGCTCTTAACGAATGTGGAGAAACATAGCTTACTGTCGGTGGAACAGCATGAATTCCGACCAGGACGATCCTTCCCGACAAACTTACTGTTAGCTTGGGAGGAGTGGGTCTGAGCCGGGGATAAGAACCATCTATTGGACGTTGTCTTTATCAATATTAGCAAAGCATTCGATAAGGTATCCCACTTAGGTCTACTTGGTAAACTCAAACGTTTTGGGTTGGATAGAAATCAGAGGGTAAAGGTTAATTGTGTACTGTCGGGGTGGAAAGCAGTACTAGGTGTAGTACCTCAGGAAACTGTACTTGGCCCACTGCTATTCCTATTATACGTAACTGAACTGCCGAAAATTATTACCGCATCTTCCTTATTATTTGCCGACGATATTAAATTATGGTTAACCGTAAATAGTAAGGATGATAGGTTGGAACTACAAAATGACCTATATAAATGGGTTGAATTGGCTAACCTCTGGAGTCTGGAAATTAATTTCAAGCAAAGCGCGGGAATGCACCCTGGTCGGAGGTTTTACACGTCGTACTCCCTGGGGGACACAGAACTGACAGGTGTTAAGGGATAAAAAGACCGAGTAATATTGTAATGGAAACTCAGCTAAGGCTTTTCGAATGCTATGGGCACTTCGAAGTGCATTCAAACGATAAGACGAGGGTATCTTCCAAGTACTCTATGCAACATATGTCAGAATGCTGCACACAAGCGGTGAGGCCATATTTCAAAATGGAAGCACATATCACGGAAAGAGTGAGGAGGGAAGGAACAAAATTAGTCAGTGGTAACTCACACCTTCCTTGGGATAAGAGGATGGAGCATTTAAATATCTTCCTTTCATCATACTGAAGGAAGAGGGGCAAGTTAATTTCGTCTTGCCGTATATTAAGGGATGATTAAGGGACTGACCTTTTGAACCTTTTTTCTCCCCCTCAAGGATACAATGACAAGGTCACCACAAGAAGGTGCCTAAACCAAGGTCGAGCAAGATACGTTTGGAATTTAGATTCCCTCACAGAGTGGTCAACAACTGGAACTCCTTACGTGATTCAGTAGTAACAGCTCCATTGGCGAATGCATTCAAGGAAAAACTAGATCTATGCAGAGACACATATAGCGAGGATTAACTTAGGCAACAAGAGTTTTCTATCACTATAATCTGAATCTGGATCATTTCACCGGGCTACACTTTTCAATGCGTCGGTGGCATAGTGGTTAGGACGCTCGCCAACCATGCATATGGTACGGGGTTCGATCTCCGGCCGACGCACTCCTTTACCTCACTGAGCCAGAACTACAGCTGATGAAGAGGAAAGGTTGGGCATGAGGCTAGCAACCCCATCCTGTAAAAATAAACACTGCTACAGAAACTTCAAGCCTCTAGCTTGAAGCCCTATGTTCCACTGGGAACGTGAAGGAATAAAAAAAACTTTTCAATATATTTACTGTATATCTAAGATGCGTGCTAGACTAGCAGGAAATCGTCCACCAACCCCTACTTTATGTGAATGCCTGAAATCACTATTGTTCATGCAATAAGCATTAGTATAAATATCATTTGGTTGTTGGTTTCGACCTTCATGTTCTAACTACAATGCGGTTGTTTCAAACTAGGTTCGACCTTGGGCGTTTTATGACCCTATTTGATACTTTCTAGGTTGCAGTCGTAGAGTTAAATACAAACTTCTTTTTAGAATTAATGTAAAACAAATAAGTCCTGCTTTGTATTTGTAAATACATAGGTAGCCTCGTGGCTCATAATTTTACCTCGTTGAATCATAAAATGACAGTCGGTTTATAGTGTTTAAGTTAAAGTATAGCATGTGCCTTAATCATAGTCTCATCTAATCACTTTAAAGCCCTTGGAATTCCCAGTATCCTAAAAGACTTGACTGCAGCTCTGTGACAATCCACAGCTTTATTTAGGTTGCGGTTACTCTAACTCAATATACGATAGTCCTTTCAGCATCATTATTTATAAACTTCCAAATCCTGGTATCATTCGCAGGTATTAGCCAGGCGTTTGGGTAAATCGTCATTGAATAGAGGCGATTTTAGGGTGACAGGCTGTGGTAGCACACTCGTCAGGTTTCTAACTAGAGTATACTGTATTTGCTCTCACCCTTTGCTTTCTACACAGTAGGTAGTCGTTAAACTAATCATTTAGGATGTTATTCAAATTGAACTCTTTTAGTCTACTTGGGACGTGTGGATGAGAGACTTTATCAAATGTTTTTTAGACCACGTTTGACATGCTGCAGGACTTATTTTTTTTTAACCGGCTCTTAGTTTAGGTGCTCAATGGAATGTGTTGACCAGTTCACTTATTTTTGACAGGTATCAACTCTACTGAACTGGCTACTGAGAAAATATCGTAAAAGACACTAAACCTCCGTCTGATACCCGACAGCATGTACAATGTCTATATCAGCAAAATGTTGGGTTATCTGTCAGAAATACTTTTCATAATATACAATAACTTGATCGACACTTCTGTTTAGCCTGACTTACGTGCAATAAAAATGTATATGTATGTTGTCATGCTAGTGGAGTTGTGCATCTTAACTGACTGAGGTGACTACCATGTGTTGAAAAAGCCGAATTACCTTCTTTGTCAACAAAGAGTGCACCATGTTCAACATTTCGGACAGCTTTACTATACTTCACCTGATTTTTGTATATCTTGTCACATTCACATTCGCCATGAAGTCATTGTTTATTTTTTTTCGCGCTTCTGTTCTGTGTCATTTAGACTAGTCAGTAACTTAAGCGAAATACTTATCGTCTCACCGTCTTAGAATTCCATGAAATTTAGTTTTTGTGACCACATTCCTTTTATATGTCAGATGCTAACCGTTGGCATCGCTTGGCAGTCGGACTATATCGTAAATTGACAGAAGTTAGAATTCAAGGGTCGTGGGATTTCAACCCTGTGCTTGGAGGGGCGATGGATTCTTGCCGTAGCCTGAAAGTCCTGTGTGTTCTCTCCAGTAAAATCGTTGATGTGTACCTTTGAATAGTTCCAAACAACTTTCTAGTGCTTATAGTTTTCAGTGGTTTCCTAAGATGATGTCAGCTGGTGATTATTTCTACGCGTCCTGTGTTTGCCTCATTGTGCGTATGCTTACGTTTTGTTAGCAAAAGCAACTAATTAGAACATTTGTTGACAAATAAGCAATGCAACGTTACAGTCGCATTAATGCATACATGTCTCAGGGTACTTTTCCTCAACGCGTAGTGGAAAAATACATGGTACTTTGAAAAAGTAAATTTAATCCCTTATTCCATAGTTTTTTCGTATATTCACCTATAAAATTTGTTTCCAAGCATTGCTCATTAGTTTTATCCTCTAATTTTAGATGAATTAACTTCTAAAGACAACCGAATTACCTGTCAACAGCAGTTTTTTGTGTTTCCAGTTCACTGAATTGCCAATGCGATTTTGTAAATTTCAGTCTTTAATTTTATACATTTTTTTTTCTTAAAGTCAATTTATTCACTAAATTGCCTTTTGGATTAATAAAAAGACAGTTATCAAATAAAATCCATATTTGTATCATTGGTAGTGGACCGTCCGCATTTTACACTGCTCAGACGTTACTGAAAGTAATTATTTAAATAATTCCACTGATTAATTAGCAAATTTAGAATCATGCTGGTGTTCACATTGATATGTTTGAGAAACTTCCAGCTCCTTTTGGCTTAGTTCGTTATGGAGTGGCTCCAGATCATCCTGAAGTGAAGGTACTATCACAACATTTCTCTTCAACATTTAAATTAATCAAAGAATGTTATAAATACTTTTACAGAAGTTGCTAAGAATCCACGATTTTCTTTTTTGGGAAATGTCCATATCGGAAGAGATGTGAAGTTAAAAGACTTACAGATGGCTTATGCAGCCATTATCTGGGTTTGAATTTGTTTAGTGTTGATATATTATAAGGCTTATGGCGCTGCTGTCGACCGGCGTCTGAATATTCCCGGAGAGGTATGTTTTATTGAAATACTTAACGTTCAAAGGATATTCCTGGTGTATTATCCGCTAAGGACCTAGTGGGATGGTATAATGGTGCACCTAACAACGTCAATGTAAGTAACATTTGCAAACCTTTGTGATTAGCAAGTTTTCTCCGGATCTTAACTGCGAAACGGTAGCCATTGTGGGAATGGGTAATGTTGCCATCGATGTTGCACGTATCCTTCTCTCTCCGGTTGACCGGTTAAAAGTAATTCATTTCATTAGAATTTTGATACAAATTTCAGTCTACAGAAATACCGGAACCTGTTATCAGTTGTTTATCAAAGAGTAGAGTACGGAAAGTAGTTTTAATTGGTCGACGAGGCCCGTTGCAAGTAGCTTTTACACTTAAAGAAATTCGTGAACTTTCAAAACTTTATGCGTCCACGTGTCAGCCAAAATATGTCATAAACTTTTTTCCAGAAGATGTATTTGCTAAGACTATGGGAACAGAAGATGAAATTCAGAAATTGCTATCAGGTAATTTAACTGTAAACACGTGTGTTTTGTAAATAAAGTCCATTAATATATATATATATATATATGAGCTCTTGTGTCTGAAGTTGTCATTGATTATCCCGATATACAAGAAGGGAAACAAGTCCTACTGTGATAATCACAGGGGGATTAGCTTGACCAATGTGGTATCTAAAGTTCTAGGCTCAATAATCATGCGTAGAATAAGTGGTGCTCGATGGTAACAAACACGAGAGAACCAGACAGGCTTTAGACCAGGAAGAGGGTGTATCGATCATATCTTAACCCTTCGACAGATGCTGGAACGGGACATAGGCATATTTACCAGCGTCCAACAATCGTCATATTTCTTGACCTGAAATCGGCATTCGATTCCGTCAACGGAAAAGTATTATGGAGATGTTTGGCTGTGAAGGGAATGCCGGGGAAATAAATCACACTGATCAAGACACTCTACTCGATCTCATTCAGTCAGCCACATGAAAGCTTACGGAGAGTTGTCCTCTGAATTGATGATGACAACCAGTGGTGTCTGTCAGGGATGCCCACTGTCCCGTTTCTGTTTAATTTCATCATAGAACTTAACGCTAACTCACTTGAGCGACTCAGGCAGGGATTGACTTGTTACCAGGTTGGGAATAATCTCGTTGACTTAGAATATGCAGATGATGTAGTCCTTCTAGATGAAGACGCTGACAAAGTGCAGATTCTCCTGAAAACATTGAGGAGCAGCAATCTTCGAATGTTTAGCATGCGATTCGCTGCCGTCGAATGTGAGACGATGCTACAGGACTAGCCTACATTGACTCCTAGCTTGAGGATAGACAGGAGTGAAGTGGTAGAGCGTGTTGACCACTTCACCTATTTGGGAAGTTGCATCAGCCCCAGCGGCTGGATCGCTGCCAAAATCTCATCATGGATACGGAAGGCCCGTTCGGTATATGCCAGCAAACCTCCTCCATCTCTAGCTTAGTAGACGTGATATTCGACTATAGATCAAACCACGTGTGTATTGCTCAGCAGTTCGTTCTGTCTTCCTTTATGCTTGACTGTGAGTGGACATGGCCATTGAAAATGGAAGACATTTAAAGGCCGGCTAGCTGTCTTATCGTAGGTGTCCGCGTGGCACAGTAACGTGAGTAATACTGAGGTTAGGCGTCAATTGGTAGGTAAGGAGGGGAAATCAATCGACGAGGTTGTTAAGTTACACCGATTAAGATGGTTAAGACATGTGTTACACATGCCTGCCTAGCCATCGCATTCATCGACGGGCAATGCTAGCTGACATAGGATGAATCAGGTTGGAAAAGAGTGAGCTAATGGTGGTCAAACCGAAACGTGGCTTCACCAGTCAATGAAATCCACAACAGTTAGTTTAAGCCGGCCACGTAGGGAGTTCTAGACTTCCTGATTGGGGTCATGGGTATGGTAAGAACCAATGAAGACTGGAGAAAATCGGTGATATGACTCAAAATTGTCGTTGTCAATAACGGCGCAGATGCATCCACTCGTTGTGATTTGTAATATCCAGTAAAATTGTATTGTTCTTCCATACTACTATTCTTTTTGCCTCATATTTCTGCTTATCTCTTTTGAATATCTGCTTACTCTCCTCTCTTGTTGTGTATGCTACTTGAGGTGTGGCAACTCGAACTGCTGCACATCTGTGCAAATTTCTACGTTGAAAGCAGTCAGTCAGTCAAAAATGGTTATAATTATTTTTGTTTAATTATCGGGTGAAATTTTGTTATGAAAAGATATTTTTACAGTTCCAATATAAAAAGACAGTTGCAGTGAGGAAAATTTTCTTTTCAATGAAGTCATCAACTAGGCTGTACATTGGTGTATTTGTAAATAATGAGTGGGAAAGCTCCAGTATAATTTACGACCAAGGGTCAAATTAATAAAATTACAATTAGGAATTAAAATGCCATAATAACCAGTGGGGGGTGGATAGAACTCAAACATAGTAGCGTCCTAATCACTGAGAAGATTGACATACTGTGCAGTTAGGGGTTAGAAATGTAGAAATGACAAAATAGACACGATAGTTGGGTAAAAAATCTAGTGGGATCGTAACTAATGTGACGAATAATTGTATGCAATGTAGAAGTAATACGGTGACAAAATAGGCAGGAAGTTCCGAAATGAAAATATGGCAGTGCAAATAGGGATTAAGAAAAACTTAAAAGTAGGATGAATTAAGTGAAAGTTTGGATAAGAAAGGTAATGGGATAGTCACTATTAAAAGAAGTACCTGTTTATGGTGGCCATGTCAGGGACAAGAGTTGGACGTATTCCTTCTGTATACATAGCGTGGGTTTGCGATTTTGGATGGCTAGTGCCTTGGCTATGCCCAGATGTCTTGATTTTACTCCCTTTGGTAGGTTTGATCGAATCTTGTATATGATTTTGAAGGATTTTTCGAATGGCGCTGAATGTCCAATATAGCCTTCTTTCATTTCTTTGCGTTCCTTTTGGAATATGAGTCTTCAAACCCTGGAGTTTCTGTAGCCATGCTGTTCTTCTGAGTTGGGGTCATCAGTCTCAGACCCAACTTATCCTCTTCTCCAGACTTACTACTGAAGCGAGGTTTTAGGCTGCATCTGCGTCGGTGGTTCAGTGGTAGAGTGCTCTCCAAACACACACGTGGTCCGGGATTCGATCATCGGCCGACGCACTCTTAAGCCTCTCTGGGTCGGTCGTAAGCCCGGTAAACAGGGGAGGTTGGGTCTGAGGCTAGTAACCCTCCCCCTTAAAAATAAAACCACTGCTACCGAAACTTCCAAGCTCTAACTTGAAGCCCTATGTTCCACTCGGAATGTGAAGAAATAAATAAATGAAGTAAAAAGTAATGTAGGGAATGAAATCCCGGTTGGCGTATTGGTTTGGTGAGTATTTTACCGTTGAAGCACTGACGCACTGTTTCAATACAGTAAGCAACTAGATTTCTTAGCGTGTTGGGACTCATTGTAAGATTATTTTTTTTTATCCGCCAGTTAGCATTAGTGGGTTTTCTGAAGATTAACTCTCTAACTTATAATTCATATATACGTTTTTACAGGACTTCCTCGCCCTCGGCGTCGTTTGACGGAATTCTTGTTGAAATTACATAATTCTAAAGATCATGGTGTTAATGACCCTCAGAATACAACGCATTATTGCGATCTACAGTTTCTGCGTTCTCCCATAGAAATTATTTCTAACGGAAATGAGTATTCTGATAAAAATCGTTCTTTGGTTTCCCATATTAAATTGGCACAAGTCAAATTAGAGGTATGCAGTAAGTTAGTTTTTTGTCAGTGTTTCCATTTCATTATTGATAATATATTAAGAAAGATAAATGTACTTAAAATGTATGATGTGCATGAGCACATAGGGGAAATTGATATAAACATAATGCATCCAATAAATACATATGTTGATGCTGTTAGGAAATCACCAATAGCTAACTGGGCTCGCATATCACAGTCGTTCAGTGGATTATGCTGTTTGGAATGAGTGGTACTTAATGTCGTCTTATATTTGAAAGGTCGGTAGTGATGCAAGTAGCCTACACAATGCCGAGGATCAGATGAATAATTTGTAGTGGAAATTAGAAAAAAGTGTGACAGTGGAAAGCTATTCGCATTGGAAGACAAGTGATTCAGATATGCTGCCTCACTCTGAGGAGGAGATATTAGGAATGTCTGATTCCAAAAAATTTGCTCAGCCTTGGGATCATGCAAATCTGATGCATATTTCCTAGCAAGTACGCCAAGTAGGCATCAGCTTTTACTCTTTAACCAAAGATGAAGTATCAACAATCCGTAAGTTTCTGTTTCTACTGGAGTTCCGCTAGATTCTCATTCTTCTTTGTTACTTCCTAAATTTGCCCTATCTCTTTACTGACACATGGGATACATACCCGCAGCAGTTAGGGCAAACGCATTCCTGGTCTATGGAAGCTGCGTTTCCAACTACATATGTGGTGATAAATTTCCAACGTTTCGTGTCATAAATATATTGTAATTGTCAAATAATACGCAATCAGTAAACGATTGCACTCATTCACTTCGCTTCACCCAGTGCGTGATGGAGGACAATACATGTTATACTTGATACACTCAGACCTCCGATAGCCATTTTTTAATAGCTTCAAGTCTGAGAACAGAAATTGTACTGACTTGGATTTACTATGGTCAAGTGTATGTTTTTCTAAAGCATGTCGAAGGTTGGAGATTTGATCAAGACACTTATCCGAATCAGAAATGTGTTAGATTCGCCTTGGGCTTGCTTGTCTTATCACCTAATCTCCGCTGAGTTTTTGTATGACTATAGGTTCTAGTACCTCTGTTGTTGATCCATCTTGTGCTTAGCGCATAGTGCAGACTCTAGGCCTCAAGGGAAGAACCTCACCAGTCAACTTGACCCCAGGTGATTGTGATCTGTGTACCGTGCTGTGGATTATATCGGCGGTGTTATAGAAGAGTATGTTTACTTGATAGCACAGTGATACAACATTATTAACTCTGCTAAAACACTTTATTGCTCTTAGTTAGTATTCATATGACTTTCACAATCGCTTTATTATAGTTTTGTTCCTTCTTGTCTTTGTTTAATATGAATTCGTGTTGATTCAATGCAAAATTTTAATACGTTACCCTACCACCTTGTGTAGTTGCATTCTAGCGCACATATAATGTCTTAGCGAGTTAACAATAGAAATATCAGAAAATTGGTGACCCTCATACATAAGACATATCTTGATCATTTCACCTGATCAACTTCTGCAATCTCACCGACTGATTTAGACTACTTACATAACATTATAATTGTATTCCATGTGTATTTTGTTAACAAAATAGAGGTAAAAATTTCACACTTTTAATGATCATTTGTTACTACTGGAAAGTTTAACAAAGTGAAGTGTTGTTGTGATGTATGAATAGAGCATCTTCATGTAAATAAAACTTTTTCAGTATTATCTCCACAAGCAGATATAGCCCACAGTTCACCTTCTCTGTCAAGCGGGAGGCTAGCAACCCCACGCTGTAAACAAAGCTGCTACATAAACTTTAGTACGATGAGTGTCCTTGCAACAAAAGGAAATGTTTATATGAGGACATGGAACGTCCGCACCGTGTATGAGACTGCCAAAGCTGCCCAAATTACAAATGAGACGAGAAGGTACGGAATTCAAGTACTGGGAATATGCGAAAGCGGATGGAATGGGAGTGGTCTCACCAAATTATCAACCGGAGAGTCGATGATCTACTCCAGTCACCCAGACGACAACCACGAGAACAGCGAGGGTTTGGCTATCATAATGTCACCAACGGGAACGAAGTCCCTCATGCAATGGGAGGCGATCTTGTCCAGGATAATGACCGCCAGATTCAACTCAAAAGGAAGGAGAGTGACAATTATACAATGCTATGCACCCACAAACAACGCAGACCTCGAAAAGAAAGAAGAGTTCTACAGGCAACAATGGACAATACTCCAGTCGGTGACATTAAAATCTTAATGGGAGATATGAAGGCCAAACTGGGACCAAACAACATAGGAAGAGGACTCATTATAGGTAGAGAAGCACTTGGAGAGATGAATGAAAACGGAGAACTCTTCGCTGACTTCTGTGCTTTCAATGAACTAGTGATTGGTGGCAGCGTATACAAGCATAAGGATATCCACAAGGCTACATGAGTGTCACCAGACGGGCGAACCAAAAACCAAATTGACTTCATCTCAATACTGGTCTAGGAAGTGGAGACGCAGCTTACTGGACACACAAGTAAGAAGAGGAGCAAACGTTGGCTCAGACTATCTCGTACAAGGAACACTCCAAATCAGATAAAAAGCTTTCAAAGAAACAGGAGCTGCAGACAGACCACAAGCCAAGTTCAATACTCAAAAACTGAAGGATCAGGCCATAAAGGATATCTTCACTGCAAACATAAGGAAAAAGGCGGAAACAAATCGACACTAGCGACGAGACCAGCGTCGCATTGAAAAGCTCTGGAACAGCCTGAGAGCGGTGTGGAGTCAAACCTGCATGGAAGTTGTAGGCAGAAGGAAGAGACAGGACAAACAGTGGCTCACTACGGACACTTGGAGACTGATAGAAGAGAGAAGGATGGTGAAACAAAAGATTATCCAGTGCACCGACGAGCAACAAAAACAGGATTTGAATGCAAACTACAAGACACTGAACAAAAGAGTAAAGAAGAGTGCCTGGGAAGACAAAATAAAATATTATGAAGCCATGGCAAGTGAAGCAGAACAAGTTGCAGGCAAAGGAGACCTCGCAAAACTCTATCGAACAACTAGGTTCCTATCGGGGAAAAGTTCAGCATAAATTAAGCCAGTGAAGGATGACAATGGAAAGTCAATCACCGAAGAAGTGGAGCAAAGAAAACACTGGGCTGAACACTTCAAAAGACTTCTAAATGGACCACCATCTACAACGGACCCAACAATACCAACAACGGAAGCTGAACTACCAGTGGACATCAACCCTCCGACCAGGACAGAAATCCTGAATGTCGTAAAGATGCCCAATATGATCTGACCTACAATAGATGCCAATCGCCATCAATAGAAGTGATCTAGAGAAAGTCGTCTCTTCCACTTGACTAAATCAGTCGGCATCGTTTCAGTCGCAGACAGAACGGATGAGGATGTAGCTAACCAGGATATCAAGTGAGTGCTTCTCTATGCGGTTCAGAAACTTGGCACGTCACAAAAAGCATTTCCAATGAACTGCAGACTTTCACAAACAACTGCCTGAAGATCAGATGACTAATCAGAAAAAAATAATCAACAAGGAATTCTAGCAGGCAGCAAACCAACAAGGGATCGATTTTCCCACCGATGAATATGCAGAAGGAAGTGGAGATGAACTGGACACAGACGCTAAGTATGTCATTGTTTGACATCGCATACCAGCCCCTTGAGTGGAAGGGGTGCATGGGAACCGACAAGTTGGACATGGATCCGGGGGTAATATGTAGAAGAGCATAATTCGGAAATTAAAGCTGTTGGAAGTTTTTGAGCCAGCTAAATTCGACGTCAGAGAACAGAATACTTTATGAGTTTGCTGTTGAGGCTTAATTTTCCACCCAAACCTCATTGGACGAATAATCCTCTTCTGTGACTATATACCGTAGGTGGTTAGATGCATTAGTAAAAATGATCCTCCTGTACTGATGACGGAGATTTATTACCTTCCATATAAACTGGAGTGGTCAATGATGGAATTATCTTCGATTTCCATAGAATAACTGAAACCTTACTCAGTGTAATCAATAGTTCACTATTGCCATCCTTAAACATCTCTGATGTCGTAGCCTCTTGTCTCGTTTCAGATTTAAAAGCAACTTTCTCCATATAATAGAGAAGATTTGTAGCTCAGGTGGAGAATTCTAAAAGCTCACTTCACATCGAAGTATGCGCTGAAGATGTTGCTCAGTAGAGCCATGAAAGCTTCGCAACCAAACCATCCAGCTCAGAGAACACAACCACACCAAAACTTTCTCCATCTTGGCCGGAGTTTTATTCAGACTTCCATCCATGGCTCTTAAAAAGTTATCTGACCTTCATCCATCTCGGAGATGTCTTCACTTGTGACACCTTTTACAGTGATTGTTTCTGCACTAATCCTAAATTCTACGTAGTGTTAACACCGTTTGCGTTTCTTTCGCTATCATCATCCAAGATTACTCACTACGAAAACACCAAAACTGGAGTTAGTGGTTTTTCGTTCTTTTTTTATTATAGCTTGATTCCACACCGTATTTTTTGGTACAGCTATGGAATTTTCAGCATGTGATATCGGTAGCCCAAATTTTGTAGGCCGACCATTGATATCGCGTGTGCGTCGGCAGGGAATCGGACCCCGGACCATGTGCATGGTCGGCGAGAGTCCTAACCACTGTGCCACCGACGCACAACTTTAACTTTCTTGAGTTGCTATATGAAACTTACAGGCTAACACTGTTTCTCAAATTTTTTTTGTTTTCTATCTCGAAGGCGATATGTGCATTATATTTCTTAACAGTCAGTTAGAATCACACCCTCCCCCCACACACAAGGCTATCCACAAGTGAATATTGTAAAAGCAAATAAGATTCAGATAGTAAGGTTTTTAGGCGTTCATAGCATTTGTTTCTGTGACAGGGTGGATTTATGTGTGTCAGTTGAACTAGTTGATCATTAATAACACTGATGAGACTAGTAAATAGTGTCCAATCAAAGTATCCAGTACAGTCAGTCAGTCAGTCCTACTGGAGGTGAATCGCAAGCCCGAATAGCTCAGTGGTAACATCTCTGACTGCAGCACTGGGTGACGCGGGTTCGAATCTCAGAAGGGACATGAGTTGCTTCAAGGTTGCAGATACGCCTTGCTGACCGGTGAGTGTCAATTAGCACGAAACGTAGGTCGAGCAAGGCTTCCTGCTTACTGCCTCCAACCATCAAATGTCATCTACTGTTCGACTTATTCAACAGTATCATTGTAACCAATCAGTTTCATGATATAGACTTGAACAAACAAATGAACTGCTTTATTTAATATACGTGACATAAATTCTCCAACCTTTAGTATCTTTTATTCTGAAGGAAAAGTGAACTCCTCGTAGGTTTTTGACAACATTTCTTGGATATATTCACTTCCCATTAAAATAAAGGTGATTGATGAATATAGTCACTAAACTACAGTCTGTTGCTTTAGATGTCAAATGTCTCGAGGATGTAAATTTATTGTTTTAGGCTTTTATCTTTAGTACTTTTGAATATGCGTTTTCATCTACCAAATATACAAAGACACTTAAAGTTGATTAACCCAGTGTAACACTTGAACATTGTGTGTAACCCTGTCTTATAATACATTTAAAGTGAAAGTTATTCACGTGTAGATCAAGTAAAGTATTATTATTATTATTAAGATTAAGTCATCTTTTTTTATTTCCCTCTAGGGTGCTGTTAGTCCTCAACAGAAAGCTGTAGTGGATAACAGTTTGCCTGTTGAATTATTGCCATGTGGTCTAGTTGTCCGTAGTATTGGTTATCGTGGCGTCCGTATTGATCCAGATTTACCATTCGACGAACAGCACGGAGTTATTCAGTGCAAGGATAACAATGGTCGTGTAGTCGGTCTACCCCAGGCTTCATACGATTTTACTGTAAGCCCAATGTATTGTGTTGGATGGATTAAACGGGGTCCTGTTGGTGTGATTGTAGACACAGCTGTAGATGCTCGTCAAACAGCTGAAACAATCATCAGGGATTTGTCTGAATTGGAAAGACATAAACACTCAGACATACTGAACAAGGATGGATTTAGCATGATTCAACATCGTCTCCATGAAAAAAGTAGGTTCTCTTAATCTTTAACATTGTACAACACTAACTTTTAACCAGTGATTAAATGTGAGCAATTTTGTAGTAAAAAGAATTTAGATAAAGCAGTAAGAAGACGTAATTTGTCAGAATCGTGTAATGTATTTGCGCAACACATTTCGAACAATCTGATCACACACGGACTTGTCATAGGAATATATATGAAATTAATAAAGAGGTAACAGGTGAGAAAATAGACTTAGGTCAAGTTAAAAGGACATATTCAAGGTCAAAATAACAATGAAGACCACTAAACCAAATAGCAGAGGTAATAGTACATCTACTATGGTATCAAAACAAAATTTACCAAGGAAGGTTTAATGTGATGACGAATTGTTTTTGAACGCATAAAGGTGGTTTAAACTTTCTAATTGCCAGCTAGGGCTTCCACAAACTTTAGGATACGCCCCAAACACGTTTTATAGATAGGTTTAAAAGATCTGTTAACGTCAATTTTATGTCCTGTCTCTATAATATATTTCGCAATAGAAGAGCTAGGTCTCCTGTTCTCACCGTTAATAGGTTCTGAAGATTCCATTTGTTTCTGGAGCCATTTAGGAATATGCTCTGAAGCCCTTACTTGCAGAGATCGATGAGTCCTCCCTATGTATGTGTGTCCACACGTACATTCAAATTGGTAAATACAGTGGGATGTGACGTCATTTTCGCATGTTCGAAGGGCTTAGATAGATATATTGGCTTTACATTCTCTATTATTATGATATTAGCTGCATAAAAAGTCTTTTTAACAGCAGTGTTCAGTCTTTGTCTAGTTATCAAGCTGCTATGATGCCCCATATAGGGTAGCTTGATGTACACGTCTTTCTTAGGGGCGAGTTGTAGAGTGGGTCTTGGTGTTCTGACTACTTTATATCTCCTGATGAACTTGTCTGGATAATTGTTATCAACCAGAGTTTGTGTCAACTTTCTTTCTTCCGCATCAAGTGTGTCTTCAGTGCATATTCGTTGGATTCTACTGAAGAGGCACCTCGCTCATTAAGGCTCTTTTGTACCGAACAGGGCAAAAACTGTGGTAATTAAGATACTGTCCTGTCCAGGTAGGTTTTCTATAAATAGATCTTTTTATTGACCCATCAAGCCGTTGACTAAGCAATATGTCTAGGAAAGATAAACAATTATCTTCCTCTTCTACAGATGTAAGTGATATGCTATTCTGAACTTCATTCATTCGATTTAAAATTGAGGCAGCAGAACAAGGCTTATCACTGATGATTACAATGTCGTCTACATACCTTCTATAAAGTGGCACATTTTCGATTAAATCCTCCGATAAACTCTCAATGTACGACATATAAATATCTGCTAAAAGGGGCCCTAACGGACTTCCTATAGCAACACCATCAACTTGGCGGAAACAAATCGCCTTCAAATGTAAACCTAACATTGTTAGTACATAGAAGTAATAAATGTTTGAAAAGTGGAGTATCACCATTTTTCTTACACAACGACAAAGGGCATTGTGGATCAGAAAGGCAGGTGTGTATGAAGAGTAAAACCATTTGTTACCTTTTAAGATTATCATCATTATGATTATTCCCTTGAGTTCCGAGTAGGACAGCACATCTCCATTTCATTCTGTTCTCCACAGTTTGTATTTGGCTGGCTCTACAATTGCTCATAGGCTCTCATCTTCTCCCGTCACCGTCGGACGCCTAACATGTTTTCTTCCATGTCGGTTCTACTCAACGACCTGTCACTCAGTGGTCACCTCAGCGTATGCTCAATTCATCCGTCTTCATTTAGATTCTGCATATTTGTTGGGTGATAGATTCTTAGTTTACTTGTTGGCCAGAGTTACGTGACCATCTCTGGCGTAGGCGTGACATCCGACTATCAACCAAGGGACGTGTGTACTGCTCAGCAGTTCGCTCCGTCCTTCTCTATGGTAGTGAGACGTGACCATTGAGAGCGGAAGACATGAAGAGATTGTCTGTTTTTGACCACAGATGTTTACGATCTCTTTCTCGCATTAGGTGGTATAATAAGGTAAGTAATGTTGACGTTAGGCGTAGAGTGTTGGGCAAAGAGTGAAAATCAATCGACGAGGCTATGAAGTTACATAGATTGAGATGGCTAGGTCACGTGCTGCGCATGCCTAACCATCGCCTCCCCCGACGGAGGGCATTACTAGCTGATATAGGTGCAGGTTGGAAAAGAGTAAATGGTGGCTAAACAAAAACATGGCATCAATCCATGAAATCCTTGACAGTTAAACTGAGTCAGGTAGGGAGATGCAGACTTCCGGGTTGGGGCCCTCGGGACTCTAAGAATCAATGGCTGGAGACAATAGGTGACATGGCTCAAAATCGTTGTCAATGGCTTACGCAGATGTATTCAGTCTCTGTAATCTTTCATATTACTTTCTACCATAACTCATTCTATTTCACTCTTATACTTGTCAAAACTCTATTGATTCTCTTCACTCATCTTCTTGTCTACCTTTGTGTGCTATTTGGAACGTGACAACTCGAACTGCTGCACTTTGGTGCCAAGTTCTATGTTGAATCCAGCCAGAGTTACGTGTTGGTTATTCTTTCCGGCCGGCCATCTGTAGTAGCCTATTGAGAGTCAGTGCTTCACGTGACACTCCAAGTCTTTGAACAATGTACAAGCACTAACTGATATGGCTTTAGTGTTGAAAATCTGGATCATATTCCTTGTACTGAATGCAGTAGATTTCTGCACTGATTTCAAAGTAGTGATACTCTGTCTTGCTTATATATCAAGTTATTGAAATTAAAGCAGTTAGTGTAGGAAAAGTTAGAGGTAGAAATATAATTCCTTATGCAAGTAAACAAGTTGCAAGCAATTTTTGAAAAAAAAACTAAGTGGCATTACTTTATAAACCCTGTGGGAAACTCACTGTATTTAAGCACTTATTGCTATTAGTTATAGCCGGTAGAAAAAGAGAACTTTCACTGCAAATCCAGTGCCACTTCAGTTGTTTATCAGTTTCTCTTCTTTCCAACATGCCTGGGGGACTTTCCAGTTAGATGAATACAAGTCAGGTTTCACGTCGTATCTATTCACATTTTCATTCCTTGTGTTCCGAGTGGAATGTGGAGCTTCAAACTGTGAAGTTTCAGTGGCGGTAGTGTGGTTTTTACCAGGTGGGTTTAAGAAGAAATCGACTTGCCCCGTTTGGACATATGGTAGGTAATGTAGCTTCGTCCGAACTGGCAGACACAAGGGGACTGATTCTGGCAGTCTCTGAACATGATGATAATGAGGAGGAGCTGCTTTTATGCAAGCTGACCATAAACAGTGGTGGACGAAAAAAAGCCTAAGACATGAAAAGCATCATTGGTGGGCGGTGGCATAGCGGTTATGATTCTCGCTGACCATGCACATGGCCTGGGGTTCGATCCCCTGCTGACGTACACCTGATATCTATGGTCGGCCTGTAAAATTTGGGCTACCGATATCCATGCTGAAAATTCCATACCTGTACCGAAAAATACGGTGCGGAATCAAGCTGTAATGAAAAAAAATAAAATAAAAAAATAATCAGGTAGCTATTTAGACTTATTAGGGAAACGGGCTATAAACAACAATCGTAAGCACAACGATATCCGAGTACTTTAGTCGTCTCCCAAGGTTAGATGACTGAAACATTGGGGAGAAACCCTTTGAGGAGCAATTCAGTTAGCCTACAGCCATTTTAAATTCGTCCAGGATCGAACAGTAACTAAATTTGCAAAAGTTGCCTCTAGTCTGAATAAAAAAGCTTTAGGATCTGACAGTACGACTCTAGAGGTGTTCGAATATTCTGGTGATGAACTGTAAACCGGATTAAGTAATGTGTGAAAGTCTGAGGTAGTTCCCTTGTACTGATGCATATCATCGATTGGCATAGTTGCTAAAAAACGAGACAAGCCTCCCTGGGACAAACATGGGGGTCAGTTTAGTGACATATTATCTAAAGTCCGCGGTTCAGTAGTCCTGCGTAGACTGAATGGTATTCAGATAACCCAGACAGGCTTTAAGTCCAAACATATGGTCGTGAGAAAATGGGTACCATTAGTCATGGCATTCTACCCGAACTCGTGCAGCTGTGTAAAAGCCGACAGAGGACTGTGTTCTGAAGTGATAACAAACAGTGGTTTCCGTTAGGGATGCGCCATGTCCTCATTTTTGTTTGATTTTATCATAGAATTACTAATGGGCGTGACGTTAATCGATCTTAACAATTCATGGACTGACTAGTTACTGGTAAGTAATCTTATCGACTCAGAGTGTTCGGATGATATTGTCCTCCTAGATAACGACGCTGACAAAATGTAGAGTTTTTTATGAACACCTTGAGCAGAAATCTTCATGTTGTTGACATGCGATTCACCTTATGTCAAATGTAAGATTACGGTGCAGGACCTCTCGCACTGATTCGTAGTTTAAAAGTAGAGAGTGGTATGGTTAGCATTTTTGTCACTTCATTTATTTGAGAAGTTGCTGACAAAATCTCAGCACGGATACGTAAAGCTTGTGTTTCATTTTTCAACTTACATCATGTCTGGCGTCGACATCTTTAGTTTACTTTCCATCTCCCTTAAGCGATATTATGTAGTGAATAATGTTGAGGTTAGGTTTATTGTTAGGTAATGAAGGTATATCAGTCCATTGGTTGTGAAGCTGTATCTATTGGGATGGCTACGACACGTGCTGCGAATGTCAAACCATTGCCTTCCTTATCGAAATAACTTTGTATTAGTCAAATCAATACCTGGTAACTATCTATGAGGTCTTTGACAGTTGGTTGGAACCTCGTAAGGAGGTGTAGACTGTCTGGCGTGGCTCTTGGAGAAATTAAGAACCAGTGACTGGAGACTGCTGGTAACATGGGTCCAAATTGTTCTCAATGGCCCGGATCCATTCATCATAGATTCTTTGCATATTTTCCCTCTACAGTTGTGCGCTATATGATGTGTGTGGCAACCTGAACTGCTACACTTGTGTTCAAATTCCCTACTCAGTCAATAGTATGCTACGTATAATATTCGCTGTGGCTCAAAAGTTTGTTTCTTTCATATAATTCCCACCCTGAAGACAAAATAAGACTAATAATCAGTCTGCCGAACACTCATGAGAAAGTCAGTTGTCACCAGCTTTTTGTACCACATTATTTAATTATTTTGCTTCATTTAATAGATGTACGCCCTGTAACATTTGAAGACTGGGAACGTGTCGATGAAGTGGAAAAATCTGCTGGTCAAGTCCTTGGTAAACCCAGAGAGAAGTTAACTACAATTCAATCGATGTTGAAAGCCGCTTTTGCTGAAGTCTCACACAGTAAATCCAGACGCTAATTTGTCAGCTAACACATTCACATGTCTTGTCCTACGGAAAGTGTCATGAGGATGAAAAAGACAGAAGTTCCCTTATTTTATATACTTCCAATCATTTGCACACACGCACTTTCTTCTTGTTTTGTCAAACTCAGGTATATAAATAGCTTTTCTATATACATTCTCCTACATCTTAGTCAAGAAAAAACTGCGCTATTCATCTGTTTTCTCTTTACTTCGAACAGATTTTTGATACCTTGAATTTAGTTGATATAAATTTTAAATGACTGATCACTGTAAGCCACTTCTCAGTAGATTTAAACGAAATATGTATATAATTCAAATCCCGATATGTTCTGATTTACAGACTCCACAAATAGTGTTTAACAACGACTTTATTATCAATTATATACATCGTCAATCTACCCAAGCACTGTCAACGTTCATAATACCCTACATCCAAACAGCAGAAGTCGTTAGGCAAATAGATTCTAAGTGGATGTGCTGAGTGAAATCATGTTCGTAAAGAGTGAGATGTTAACAACCTCTCAGTAGATACAGCTGCAACACTGTGAAGAATACATTAATGAACGAATAGTTCAACTTGCCATCAAAAAATCATGCAACTGTAGCCAAGCTTTGAAAAGCTGTCTGTTATTTGGAAGGAGACAAAGCAACAGGATCTCATGACACGTCTCCAGAGAATTTTCACGATAAAGCTGATGAATTATCGGCTAGACTAAGTATGCTGTTGTCTGTTGAATGGTGGGAATCAGAGTTGTGGTGTATTTCGTTGATCATGCTGGTTTATTATTCGCTTGGATTCCGAATGGGACATAGGGAGGGCTTCAGCAGGACATATGCATTTCACTCGGTCCTATCTGCAGAGTCTTTATGGCAAGCTGGTTGAGCAAACGTAGCTATAGCTATGGTGAGTGAAATAATCTTCAAGAAGAATGCAAGTTAAATCATTTCTCTCTCCATGGGGTAAGGTCGCTGGCCAAACACACACGCACACACCCATCCTTGCCTTCTTTTCCAGACTAAGGACCGGACGGGCTAGTAAACTAGGCGAGATCATCCTCGCTTATAAGAGACAGGTAGGTGGTAAGTATCTCTGTGATGCTCATAGCGGGACCAGTTTAATCAAGATAGTATCTAACATTCTAGGCCTCATAATCTGTTGAATACCAAGTAGAGTTTGGAGGAACCATACACTAGGAAAGCAAGCAGAATGCACTGTTCAAATCTACACACACATCGACGCGGTTCCGAAACCCAGGCTCACTTACCGATGTAAATAATCACCGGACACATTTCTTCGCTTAATTTGAGGGATTGAATCATCCTTCGAACGAGAGGTGGTGTGACAATGTCTGGCCTGGCTTTGAAGCAAATGTCAAGATATCACAATGTCTTGACCGAGACAACCTATTCGAAGTAGTTCAGCTGTGCAAGCTGTGGTTTGTACAGAGTTTCCATTTGATGCAGCCACTTCCAGGGATCGATCTTCAGTCTCACTACATTCATTCCATAATGTGTGTAGAAGTGGTCAACATCGTCGGAGTGACAAGGGTGGACTTGCAATCAGGCGAAAGTATCGTTGATTAAATGTGGGCATATAGTTCAGTTTACTAGCTGGTCGTAAATCCGAAAAAGAGGGGAGGTTGGGTATAGGGCTGGCTAGCAACCTCACACCGACGTGAGGAAAACAAGCCTAAGACTACTGAAACAAACCTTCGAAGAACAGGAAATTCAGACTTGTCCTCTGTTGCAATCGACGAGACTTCTCAGTTCGAGGAGGGATGATGCGACAGACGACAGGCTTCGGGAAGGCAGTCGATCGACGTGTCTTCCTTCACTGACAGCAAAAGTGAACATGACTACATGGAATTTCCGAGAAATGCTTGGTTGAGGCTGGTTGGCTGCCACCTTGCTAACTGGTAAGGCTGCTCAGATTGCAGAATAAATGAGAAGATAGTGTATAGAAAGAAGTGCTAGGGATCTGCGAAAGCAGATGGAATCGAAGTGGACTCTCCAAATTGATATGTGAGGAGTGAATAATCTACTCCGGTCAGCCAAACGACAACCACCAGCACAACGAGAGAGAGAGAGAGTGGACATCATCATGTCACCGACAGCATCAGAGGGCTCTCATCGAATGGGAGCCAATTTCCTCCAGGAGAGTGATTTAACTCAAGAGGTGGGAACGTTTCAACTCTACGCACCTACAAACCAAGAGAAGAAGAAGGAGGACGACAACTACAAGCAGTAATGGACAAAATCCCAACCAGATGGAGACAGCAAAATTCCAATGGGTGATATGAACGCCAACCGTACTGGGAGCAGACAACAAGACAGGAAGAGAACTTGTCATGGATCTGGGATGTTGAGGCGTTCGCCAGGACGACAGAGAACGGAGAACACTTTGCAGACTTCTAGGACTGCAATGATAGATTCAACTGGCCTACCATTTCTCACCCACCATCCAAACATCCTGCAACTGTAGCCAAGCTTTGAAAAGCTGTCTGTTATTTGGAAGGAGACAAAGCAACAGGATCTCATGACACGTCTCCAGAGAATTTTCACGATAAAGCTGATGAATTATCGGCTAGACTAAGTATGCTGTTGTCTGTTGAATGGTGGGAATCAGAGTTGTGGTGTATTTCGTTGATCATGCTGGTTTATTATTCGCTTGGATTCCGAATGGGACATAGGGAGGGCTTCAGCAGGACATATGCATTTCACTCGGTCCTATCTGCAGAGTCTTTATGGCAAGCTGGTTGAGCAAACGTAGCTATGGTGAGTGAAATAATCTTGAAGAAGAATGCAAGTTAAATCATTTCTCTCTCCATGGGGTAAGGTCGCTGGCCAAACACACACGCACACACCCATCCTTGCCTTCTTTTCCAGACTAAGGACCGGACGGGCTAGTAAACTAGGCGAGATCATCCTCGCTTATAAGAGACAGGTAGGTGGTAAGTATCTCTGTGATGCTCATAGCGGGACCAGTTTAATCAAGATAGTATCTAACATTCTAGGCCTCATAATCTGTTGAATACCAAGTAGAGTTTGGAGGAACCATACACTAGGAAAGCAAGCAGAATGCACTGTTCAAATCTACACACACATCGACGCGGTTCCGAAACCCAGGCTCACTTACCGATGTAAATAATCACCGGACACATTTCTTCGCTTAATTTGAGGGATTGAATCATCCTTCGAACGAGAGGTGGTGTGACAATGTCTGGCCTGGCTTTGAAGCAAATGTCAAGATATCACAATGTCTTGACCGAGACAACCTATTCGAAGTAGTTCAGCTGTGCAAGCTGTGGTTTGTACAGAGTTTCCATTTGATGCAGCCACTTCCAGGGATCGATCTTCAGTCTCACTACATTCATTCCATAATGTGTGTAGAAGTGGTCAACATCGTCGGAGTGACAAGGGTGGACTTGCGATCAGGCGAAAGTATCGTTGATTAAGTGTGGGCATATAGTTCAGTTTACTAGCTGGTCGTAAATCCGAAAAAGAGGGGAGGTTGGGTATAGGGCTGGCTAGCAACCTCACACCGACGTGAGGAAAACAAGCCTAAGACTACTGAAACAAACCTTCGAAGAACAGGAAATTCAGACTTCTCCTCTGTTGGAATCGACGAGACTTCTCAGTTCGAGGAGGGATGATGCGACAGACGACAGGCTTCGGGAAGGCAGTCGATCGACGTGTCTTCCTTCACTGACAGCAAAAGTAAACATGGCTACATGGAATTTCCGAGAAATGCTTGGTTGAGGCTGGTTGGCTGCCGCCTTGCTAACTGGTAAGGCTGCTCAGATTGCAGAATAAATGAGAAGATAGTGTATAGAAAGAAGTGCTAGGGATCTGCGAAAGCAGATGGAATCGAAGTGGACTCTCCAAATTGATATGTGAGGAGTGAATAATCTACTCCGGTCAGCCAAACGACAACCACCAGCACAACGAGAGAGAGAGTGGAAATCATCATGTCACCGACAGCATCAGAGGGCTCTCATGAAATGGGAGCCAATTTCCTCCAGGAGAGTGATTTAACTCAAGAGGTGGGAACGTTTCAACTCTACGCACCTACAAACCAAGAGAAGAAGAAGGAGGACGACAACTACAAGCAGTAATGGACAAAATCCCAACCAGATGGAGACAGCAAAATTCCAATGGGTGATATGAACGCCAACCGTACTGGGAGCAGACAACAAGACAGGAAGAGAACTTGTCATGGATCTGGGATGTTGAGGCGTTCGCCAGGACGACAGAGAACGGAGAACACTTTGCAGACTTCTAGGACTGCAATGATAGATTCAACTGGCCTACCATTTCTCACCCACCATCCAAACATCCTGCAACTGTAGCCAAGCTTTGAAAAGCTGTCTGTTATTTGGAAGGAGACAAAGCAACAGGATCTCATGACACGTCTCCAGAGAATTTTCACGATAAAGCTGATGAATTATCGGCTAGACTAAGTATGCTGTTGTCTGTTGAATGGTGGGAATCAGAGTTGTGGTGTATTTCGTTGATCATGCTGGTTTATTATTCGCTTGGATTCCGAATGGGACATAGGGAGGGCTTCAGCAGGACATATGCATTTCACTCGGTCCTATCTGCAGAGTCTTTATGGCAAGCTGGTTGAGCAAACGTAGCTATAGCTATGGTGAGTGAAATAATCTTCAAGAAGAATGCAAGTTAAATCATTTCTCTCTCCATGGGGTAAGGTCGCTGGCCAAAGACACACGCACACACCCATCCTTGCCTTCTTTTCCAGACTAAGGACCGGACGGGCTAGTAAACTAGGCGAGATCATCCTCGCTTATAAGAGACAGGTAGGTGGTAAGTATCTCTGTGATGCTCATAGCGGGACCAGTTTAATCAAGATAGTATCTAACATTCTAGGCCTCATAATCTGTTGAATACTAACTAGGTAGAGTTTGGAGGAACCATACACTAGGAAAGCAAGCAGAATGCACTGTTCAAATCTACACACACAGACACACATCGACGCGGTTCCGAAACCCAGGCTCACTTACCGATGTAAATAATCACCGGACACATTTCTTCGCTTAATTTGAGGGATTGAATCATCCTTCGAACGAGAGGTGGTGTGACAATGTCTGGCCTGGCTTTGAAGCAAATGTCAAGATATCACAATGTCTTGACCGAGACAACCTATTCGAAGTAGTTCAGCTGTGCAAGCTGTGGTTTGTACAGAGTTTCCATTTGATGCAGCCACTTCCAGGGATCGATCTTCAGTCTCACTACATTCATTCCATAATGTGTGTAGAAGTGGTCAACATCGTCGGAGTGAC